TTATTGGAAAATAATTAAAGATTTGCGCATTTTTTACAGAAAACGTATAGAGTTCGAAATTTAGTTCTAGAAAATAAGAAATTTAAATTGGCGGATATATCCGCCCTATCTAATACTTGAAAACTTTGAAATGTAAAGCTTTTTAGAAATTTGAAATCTTTTTGTATCAAAATTCATATTTTAATCAAATGTTTATAAAAAAAAAGTTTTTATTTTGAAAAGATTTCAACCTTATTTGAAAATTGCTCTGTTATAAAAATTACGAATTTTATTGGAAAATATTTATAGATTTTCGTTTCTCTTTCAGAAAATGCTTATAAAAGGTATATACTTGGAAATTTGGAAATAAGGAAATTTAAATTGGCGGATATATCCGCCCTATCATATGCTTATGCAAAATTGAAAATTCTTCGTCCGCCAAAGGTTAAAAACGTCGATTTTAAATCGAAGTAAAATAATTATTTAATTGTATGTATAAATAAATATAACAGGTGATGCATTCTAAAAATATGTGAGTAATAATTACTATGATGATGATGTAAGTTTTGTCATGTATGAAATATTTGTTTTCTTTCTTTACTTTGCATAAGCAAGTTTGTATTTAACAGTAAAAGTTCACTTAATTATAGTGTTATTAAAAATGAGTCATTCAATCAACGAGTTCAAATTTAAACATACATTTGATTTAATCTTTTAGTTTTTATTTAACTATTTTTGTACATGAACTTTGTTTTTCGTATAATTTAGTAAAATCAATAGAAATTATCATACAATAATTACTTTTATCTATTTACATTTTCTGAATATTTTTTCATATTTAATTTTTAAATTAACTTAAAAACTTTGAAAGTTTTTACATATTTCATAATTAAATAACAATATATCTTCTATTTCGCTTCTTCTGATATAATAATTATTACGTAATGTTAATTAATAATTGAGATATAGCAATTTTTCATAATTTTCGAACTTTATTAAAAAAACTGCGATAGTTTTCTTTCTTTTTACATATTGTATTTACATATTGTCTTGCGGTATCGAAGCGAACGTTTGTTATATAATTTGGTTTATTTTTTTGTACGGATTTTCTATCGGATTCGCAACGAAACGTACAATTTTTCCATGACGTTCGACCGCACACTTCTCCTCCTGCTCTTGCGGCAATGCGGCTTCTTGTTACACATTTTTCACGGTGCGTACACATATAGGTTTAACGGAACGCAATACAACAAACTTGCTGTAACGCATCCCAAATTATCTAAGACATTCAAACTTTTTTAATCCAAATAGAACTGTTGATTTTTTAAAATTTAATTACGAACTAGTCAAAGCAGTTGCATCCTTTTGTGTATGCTTAAATTGATTTAAGTAGATTTAAGATTAATTTTCATGTTCAGGTCTCTTCTGGTAGCAACTGGTTATGAAAATATAAACAGTTTTCGAAGATGTTACTTTTCAGACCTAAAAAGTTTGTTCATTGATTACAAAGAAGCTAAAGCAGTTACGTATTTATATTTATTTTCATCTCTATACATTCAAGATTAATATCCTTGCACATAATTCTTTAGGGAATAGCTGGTTATGAAAATAATAGCAATTTTCGATGACGTTACTTTTCAAATCAAAAAGGTGTGAAAACACCAACGTTTGTTCATTTATTACAAAGAAGCTAAAGCAGCTACGTACTTATGTTTACATCTATTTTAATCTCTATTCATTCAAGATTAATATACGTGCTTTAGGGAATAACTGGTTATGCAAATAATGGCAATTTTCAAAGATATTACTGTTCAGATCTAAAAGTTGTGAAAACACCAAAGTTTCTTTAATGATTACAAAGAAGTTAAAGCAGTTACGTAATTATATTTACATTTATTTTAATCTTTATCTATACATTCAAGATTAATATCCGTACTCATAATGCTTTAGGGAAGTAACTGGTTATGGAAACAATTGCAATTTTCGAAGACGTTACTTTTCAGACTTAAAAGTTGTAAAACGCCAAAGTTTGTTCATTGATTACAAAGAAGCTAAAGCAGTTACGTACTTATATTATATTTATTTTAATCTCTATACATTCAAGATTAATATCGTGCTCATAATGCTTTAGGGAATAACTGGTTATGCAAATAATGGCAATTTTCGAAGACATTACTGTTCAGACCTAAAAGTTGTGAAAACACCAAAGTTTGTTATTGATTACAAAGAAGCTAAAGCAGTTACGTACTTATATTTACATCTATTTTAATCTCTATACATTCAAGATTAATATCAGTCTCATAATATTTGGGGAATAATTGGTTATGCAAATAATGGCAATTTTCGAAGACATTACTTTTCAGACCTAAAAGTTGTGAAAACACCAAAGTTTGTTTATTGATTACAAAGAACTAAACAGTTACGTACTTACATTTACATCTATTTTAATCT